TCTGCATTTGGAAGCCTCTGGTATGACACAGATTTCCAAGCCTCAACCCAGATTCTTAATCATGTTTTATACAAAACCTTAGCATGAAAACAGCTTTAAAATGCTCAAATTATATCACCTGAAAGATTAATTTAATTAAAAAAATGTGGTGCCTGTACCCGACACACATTTCACAATCACTTCAGTAATTAGCTTTTCCCTACACAAAACACCACTGTTTTAACTGTAGCTGTTTTGGGACTTTCCAGGTCTGCAAGAGCATTATCTTTCTTGACTAATGTAATGGTTGGAATATACTGGATGAGAACAGACACAAAGCACCAGACCTCCCTCGAGCACTGGCCCAACATATGGTCCTTGGGATAGTTTGCCGAATATTCTCAAGATGACTGCTCTTCCACTGTGTGAGAAAGAGGGTTTTTTCTTATCCCTAAAATGCCTGTCTTCAATAAGCGGTGATTCACTGAACTAGCCCCGAAGCTGCCTCTGGAAGCTCAGTATTCAAAAACCATCTGTGCCAGCAAGTACCAGGAGAGGGCTTTCACTTGATATTTAAACAAATTATACCCTCAGATATTTCAAACATATACTCTGTATTTATGTATTTTGGGATACTAGCCATAGGTCTTGATGAAAAGCCAAATTACTTAATTATTATTATTCTTAAATACAGAAAAACACTTGCATTTAACCTCTACGCTTCAATTCCATAGTAAAAAATGAGGGACTCTGAAACACACAAATTCTGCATTCTTGCCACCTTAACACTGCTCAAATATTTAACTTGTAAAGTTCCTTGACCTATTCTTGTGGTGGTTGATGCTCTTCTTGAAGTTTAACTCTTACAATTACATGAAAACGTCTATTTCATAAACAAAAGCATTTAAAAATCCTGATTCCTAACAGCCTTACAATTCAATAAAAAAGCTTGAAAATGTGAAGTGAATAGATTCAAAATCCACAAGGTAAACAAAAGCAACTCAAAATTTGTTATTTTTAATTTGACATTGGAGGTGCTTAAGGATACTACGTAAAGAGCTGGAGTGCCTTCCTGTTCCTCTCTGTGTCACCCACTGCCACGTCCCACCCCACCACGAGGTGGGAACCGCCGCTGAAGGCATAACGTGGCTCAGGAGCAACACACCTAACTTCATAACCGTGCATCAGATTCCAAAAAAGCAGTAACATTCAGGAGATCCTTTCCCATTATTTTGTCTAGTATCATTAAATAAAATAAAAACCTATAAAATTCTGAATATGTGGTATTTTCAACTCTGCAAGGCAGAGGCGCTAAATTCTTCCACAGGTATCTCATTCCGCTGCACCCCTTCTCTTTCACTCTTGATCTGAACCTCATTACAATGCTAATCAGGCTGAATTACTGATGAGCTGCATTTCCAGCACATTATCTAAAATACGAGAAGACAAGGAAGGTACCAAAGGTACCACAGAGAAAGCGAGTGAAGAGCAGGTGATCTCGTTTGCTGGTGTGAGTCCCTTTTCCAGCGCTCACCGGGCTCTGGGCCCAACGACTGCAGGGAGCCAAGCACAAACTAATCACTTTTTCTTGTTGATGGGTTAGTTCTCTGCCAGTTCCTCAAAGGGAAAGGGGTTAGCACAGGGTACGACAGGAGCCAACGGAAGGGAAGGGGCAGGAACGCACCGTGAGGGACTGGGATGGAGATAGCTCAAGGCACTGGGCAATCCCGGTCTGAAACCAGTTACACGTCTGGTGGCAGTCCCATTTGAGGACATCTCACCCCTGCTTATCTGCTTCTCTATAAAATCTTTTTTCCCCATTTTTCTTTCTGGAAATGAATTTTTTATATGGCTGGATGGAGATGGAAATCTAAGAACACATATAACAAAAAAAATAACCTCACCCCAAACTGCCGATTTTCCATCTCCCCAAGTAAAAGTCATCAAAAACCCCAGTTGTACCAGTACAGAGGGGAGAATGATGGGCCTGGCCTCGGTACCTTCAGCTAATCCTGCCATCTGAAAAAAAGGCCATTTAGCTATGGCTTGAGAGGAAGCAAAGAGTCCAAATGAGCCCTGGCAAAGTGAAACGGAGAACAAGTTTAAAGGAAACACACTCTTGAACAAAGTGCTGGTGGAAAAACACTTGCAATTTTGAAAAGCTTTTTCACATTTATAAAAGCTGTATCAGAGCTGTTTCCCTGTATACAGCAAACAGTACTGGTCCCAGAAACATTAAGCTTTTCCATCAACTTTTTCTCTTAAGCAAAATAGCCATTACTACTCCCTAAACTGACCTCCTGCTCAGATCAAAAGGGTGTTATTAAAAAGATCCAATTTCCAAAGAGAAATTGTGAGCTAGTATTTCTGCTGAACCGAGAAGTTGGACTGAAATCCAACACTTCTCATTGAAAAAAATGGGCAATGCAACCAAGTAAAATATCAAACAAGAGTTAGTTCAGAAAAAGAAAAAATATAACATGCAGGGGTGGGATGATTTGTAAAAGATCTCCTTGCATCAGCAGAGGCAGTGTCCCAGCTGCAGCAAAAGCAGACATATATGTCAAAAGAGATTAACGAGGAGACCAGCAACTTCAATGACAAATAGTGGACGTTTTGACCAAAAAAAAAAAAAAAAAAAAAAAACGGGAAAAAAAAAACTTATGTCTGTTTCAGTATTTTTAAAAAGTATTCCCAAACCTCCTATCCGGATAGATATCAGGATAAGCATTACAAAGATCGAAGCTGAAATCGGAAGGGAAGACAGGAGGGAGCTCTAGTCATGGTTTTTAACAAAAAAAAAAAAAAAAAAAAAAAGGCAGGCTAAGAAAGCTCTTGCCAAGTCAGACCTTGCAAAGAGAGATTATCAGTAGCACAGAGTTAAGAAGCTTAGACATTGCTTGGAGAAATCAGAGGGTCACAGACCATGGTGGAACTGGGCTAAGGGGATGTATGTCAGACAGGACAAAGTCCTGGAATAGTTGTTTATAATCTCCAGAAGCCCAAAGAAAAGAAATCAGATAGTCTTTGACAAACGATGCAGATTTTCAGTACCTTTTTAGAGTGAAACATTTTTGAGGAGGTGAGTTTATTCCTGCATCGCAGCCCTAAGGAGCAGCTCAAAGAGCAACGGAGAGTTTCCAGCCGCCAACCAGCCTGACACAGCTTCTGCACAGCTCCAGATCCTACCCCCAGAAAAGACACCGAATAATCCAGAGACACTTTCCAAGTCCTCCAAAGCCGCTTGCAGCCAGGCACCAGTGTGAGCTGGCCAGAATGGTTAGCAGCTGGGAGGAGAAGGATGGGAGCATTCACTCTGAACTGGCAGAAGATCCACACAATTCATGACTCCAGGAAATCCACGTATCGGCAAAAACTTCAAGGATAATTTGTCTATTGAAACACAGAAGTTCAGCAAAATCTGGGCTAGGGGAGCAACAAAAGGAGGCAGAAATCCCCTGAAGCCATTGGACTTTGCCACAGACCTGTATCTTTCCTTGAAGCAGTGCACCAGCAGAGTGAGGAGCTTCTCAAGAGAGAGGGAAGCTCTTCACCATCCATCCGTTCAGACATATAGCTCTGAATAAAATATTTCACCGAAGATGACCATAATTTGGTTTGTTAAAACTTAAAAGCTTAAAAAAAAATTTTTTTAAAAAGGGCAATAGACAATACAAATTAAATTCTAATGCTTAGGAGAAAATATTCCCTTGTTAAGTAAAGACCAAAAGCAGGGAATATACATCTGTTAAAATCTGAAGGGATCCATGTATTATTAGAAGGCTCAAAACATTTTTAAATGAATCTTGTCTGAAAGCCAATGCTCAGTATCCAGTGGAGCTTCTAAGGAAAGCTGCTTTTGGCCTGTTGCTGCAGGATTTCTCAGAGAACAGAAGGCTTTACGGACACAAGAGACCGAACGGGAGGGAATGGGACAGGACAACCCAAAACCCGGGAAGGTCCCCCAGTCTGAAATGGATTTGACAGAAAATGGGAACACCTCCTACATACCTGAAGTACAAGGCAACGTTAGAATATAAACAAGATCCACTTCTATTCCTAGCTCAGCTCATTCCTTAGCACTAATCTTAGCCCATGAAAAGAGAGAGAGAAGTCAGATAAAAGCAATCCAAAATGGGAAACAAAAAGGCCTTTGGAAATGCCTGGCATTCAACAGTCAAACGTCTGAGCCAAAACTGTTAGTCAGTTATTCAAAACCAAAATGTTTGCATTTTCCTCAGAACAGACATATAGTAGGGAGAATTGCTTTGACTCCTATTGTGTAGGCATATTTAGCTGAAACAAAAGCAGCCCAGCTCTATCTGTACCGAGCACCACCCTCCTCAGAGTTAGCCAAGGTAAGGTTACCCGAGCTCTCCACCCCGCTTAGTTCATACCCTGCTTTTGAAGATTTTGCCTTGCATTGTGTGGTAGAGCTACCTCTCCTCTTAAGGTAACCAGAGAATCATACTAACAAACCCACAGTATTCTTATTAAAATGACATATGATTTAGAATGAACACAAAACTTGCCTTTGCAGTTGTGGACGACAACCAGCTATTCTATAAAGAGTTTTGACACATTCATCATAAAAACACACTTATTGATTATTACTACAAGCTCTTGGTCCAAATTAAGCAACGCTACAGTTGTGATTTTCCGGATATTGCTTCACACCCTGCTCTTTTTTCCATTTTCCTTTGGGTTATGCAGAGGAGAAAACCAGCATAAAGGCAGCGAGCATTTTCAGGGAGAGACCTATATTTCAGGTTTAACTTCTTTTTAAAATATTCTTTAAATATCTGTTTTAAGTTAACACTTGAAAAATAAAACTAAGAAGGTGTCATTTTAACTGTGGCAAAGTAAGATAAACTGGACTAACAGTCGCTCTAATTTGGATCACCTTTCCCAAGTTGCACAGTTCACTGAAAATATTGGCACGTGGCATCTCCAGCCGTCGGGAGCAGGCTGTGAAGTAAGCAATTCTCTGAATTCATGTACAGAAATGTATATATAAATACCTCTCCTCCCACGGTAAGCAGTCCAGGCGAATCGAGCTTCCGTTTCTTGCGGGGACCGATAGCTGCCAGTGCAGTGAGGTTGGCATCCCTCTGCCGCATCTGCGCCAGTTCTTGCTGCTGCATCTGTTGAGAGAGAGAAAAAAGACCCACTCTCTTTAGTTTTTAGTTTGTTGTCATTTCAAAAAGTTCTTCTCAGGCTCATGAGCATTGGGTAAAAGTCACACCATTTCAGCCGCTCGAGCACGCAGCCCTGCAGCACAGCAATAGAGAAGGTACAGAAGTTCTCTTGACTTTCCACAGGATTTCTGCTCCCCAAGAACTCAATTGGTTTTGAAAACTCCATCCTCACCCTTGAAAACTGCCTTAGCCAGTAAGTACTGCAGAATAACTACACACCTCCAGTTTAAGGCTGATACGAAGAGTGTAAATACCAATTCAAATCCTCAAAAAATATCTCAAACATTTTCTTTCATCTTAGACTTACTTTGAATATTTCAAATACACTTGATATTTGCTTCCAAAAAGAATCTGTACCTAAATCATAGAATCATAGAATCGTCTAGGTTGGAAGAGACCCTTGGGATCATCGAGTCCAACCATCTACCCTACTCTACAAAGACACCTCTATCTAAACATCAGCAGGAGGTAACACTGACACAAAAGCCCCACAATCTGAATTTTCAACTGCTTTTTCCCCTACAATCTGCTTTCTGGGGTTAGGATTTAGGTAACGACACACCCAACTAGTTTGAGAAAACTAGAAATCTAAGAGAACAACCTGGCAGCTGCATTGGCTAACAGTGTCACGGGGACAGAAGGGAAAATCCTCCAGCCACCACATGATGAAGAGGTACGAGTGGATATTCATTTTTGCACTGTATAATCCTTTCAGGGACTTAATGGTAAGAGACATATTCCCACGAACAATATTACTTCAATAAATATTCTGATCATCAATACTAGACAAGAATAATCGATTAGGTAACGCAGCATGTGATTTTAATTAGATAAAAGCATCAGTAGCTCTTAGTAATAATTGTTACTAATTTCAAGACTTTGGGTTTGCAAAATCCTTCAATAAATTCAGAGGAGGTGTTGCTCTCTAATCCCATTGATGTCAGACTTGTTCCCACCTCGACAGAGACACACAGAGCACTACTTCAAGAAATTCAGCAGTGGTCATAAAAACATTGTATGGTCCAGGCACGATTCTTCTCAAAATAAAACCACCACCAAGTACAGATAGAAGGGTCTCAGCCATCACTGGCGCAGGAGCTGCATACACATACAAGTGAGGCTGAACATTCTTGGTCAATGTTAAAAGGAAAAGAGGTTTAAACAAAAAAGCAACGATCTATGGTATCTTTCCTCCATTCACTTCTGCCTAGAAAAAGCAGGTCCACTTCATGCGTCCTATTTAGTGCAGTTTTCAGGCTTATTCATTTAGCAATGCAACATATTTTCACGTTCTTCAGAAAAAGAAAATCCAGTACACTTAAGAGTTTGAAAACCCATTTTTTCCACATTTCTATGCTATATATTTTGCAACTTCAGTTTTTATCATAACCTCAACATAAATTTATCTACAAATACACATCCCATTTATCTAGAGGGTAAAAGAATTTCCTAAATACAAAAAAAGAAACGTGGAAAAAAATATCTAAATAATAGTGCAAAGGTCTGTACGTACTTCTCTTTGCCAACTCATATTAGGTTTTTAGCTCAAATATCTTTGGCTCTCTTCCAGATTAAATGCCAGTTAGACAGACCTGCCCGCTTACCCTTTCAAGGTAGATAGCAACAGTGGTGAGCTCTAATCATTTACAAAGGTCATGATCGGAAGCTAGCCCGTAAGCAGTCATTTAAAATTCGATTGATCCCTATTTGTAGTCAGGGAAAGAAAATGGACATTTCAGCTGTATTGTAATTATGAGGCTTCAAGGCAACTGTAAATAGATGTGCAAATCCAGATACTGGGAAATACCTTAGAGAAGAAATTATTACTATAGTATAACATATATCCAGGAAAGGTTGAAGATAAAACTGCATATAAAAAAAGATCAATCATCTTTTTGCTAATTTGCCATGCTCGCCAGCCTATAAGGGTTATCACAATTATCAGAAGTCTGATGAATATTTAAGCGAGGGCCAACTGGCTGAGAGTCATCTCAGAACAAGCCGCAAAGTGGATGGCTTCACAGAATAAGAAATTTTGCACTGGAGAAAGTGCTGGTTTCCTGGGAGGTCAGAAATACCAGTCTGACCAGAAATACCAGGTCAGTCTGATGGGTAACCAGTACCACACACACACTATATGTGTTGCTATATGGGTACCTTATCTAAAGTCACCATTTTTAAGCCAACAGTGAGCTAATAGTTGGCTCTTTGTACCACCTGTATTGCAATATACAGCGGTGGCTTCAACATGTAAAATAAGCACGTAGTGCCTCTGAAAAATTGCTCCAAGAACTATAATTTAGTATTTCTTTATTTTCGCACATGCAAATTGTAGAGCAAAATGTGCCATTTCTCTAACTTTCCCATAGTGGGACAAATCCTGCCCTCGCCTGGGAACCTGCCAAGTGCCCGGTGCTCTCTGACCAAGCAAACGTGGAACAGATTGATGACTCTGCAGGAGGGTTTGCACTCCTTTATTCCTCAGGTTCCTGCTCCCTTTTTATCCAGTGAGAAGACCTATAAGCTCTCTGGACCAGAGCCCTCCTATATGACTTCCCTTACTCATCACCGGTGACAGACACTACTTTATACCAATAAGGAACGTGCTGCCGGGTACAAAAACTCCAGGCAAAACCCCAGGATGGTCCCTGATGCTGGTTTTACAGTGCACACCTCATATGCTACAACAGGAAAGAACAACCTTCTTGTGTAAACCTTAATGAGTGTTGGTCAAAACATACCAAACACACCCAACACACACACATCCTCAATGAGAGCATCCCGATGTTTTATAAGATAAGGGTTGAAGTGCTGAAATACTTGCTTGATATTACACAAATTCTCATCAGTCTTTTAAAAATCAGGTATCACTGATCTTTTTTTTTTTTTTTTTTTTTTTTAAATGTTCATCTAGAGGCAGAGGATCATGAAATTACATTTAAAAATAATCAAAAGAATTATGATGCTGGTAGCGATTATCAACAAAGGCATTCACCTTGCGGTGGTCAGTCTGGTTTAAGGGAACACCTTTGCACACTCACTATTAACTACCAATTTGCTCACAATAAAACATCTCCACAGTTCATGGGTCCTTACGGGGAAGACATCTGACAAGATTCCTGGATGTTATTTAACATCCCAGAGCAGAGTAACCACCACAGGAGCTTTTCAAAATGAGTGCCATGGAGATACAAACTGCATTTAATAGTCATAAAACCTGATGCGGTTATTGCAAGTACCTTACCAGAAGTTTAGCAACAGCCAAACAGTTTTGCGGGAGTGGTGCAATTAGCATAGATTTAATTACTCTGCTTTACTGTCAACAGAGATCACTTTCGAGAGGTACCCCTGGTCCCAGGCGATGCCAGACGCACGACCCTGACCACGGAGGCTCCTTTCCCTCTGGAACCTTCTTCTCTGCACCACAAGAAATGACACTGCAACCAGTTTGCAAACATAGTGCCACAGCCATCACCTGCTGAATTCTCAATGCTAAAATATAACCCAAATTAACAATATTCTGAAATTGCTAAAATACCCGAGAAACTAAAGCTGCTTAAGCTTCTTACTTTACGTAATCAGTTACATTTTAAAGTAAGAAAGCAGCCTGTTATTACAATATAGCATATCTATATTAGCCAGTTAATAATTTCTGGGTATTTAAACAAATGAAGCACCTGTTAATATCTATACATACTGATAAAATAAATAAATTTCCTGTTAATTAACATGATTTAACAGCATTGAAGCTAACTCACTGCTTCAACCAACAAGATGCAACTGTTTGATAGCTGCATTCGCTCACACTCTCATTTCCATACTGGGCTGCTGATGCAATATAATTCTTTAACTTGCCTTCATTGCAATTAATATGGATATATTTATCAATAGCGTATTAAAATTTCTGCCCTCTGAGAAGGAAGCAGTGCTTCATTCAGAACCACACTAATCAACAACAATTAACTTTTTTGAAAGTCAAAATATTTATCTAAAACACAGACAAATATTCCAATATATTATACAGGAAAAATGCTTACAAATGAGATGCTGCTCCTTGCTCCTTATCTGATCCCAATTTATTTTTAGTGTGCCATTTACCTATGAGAAGATTTTCATTCCTTAATGACAGCTTTAACTTAGAGAGATCCTTTTGATGAAAAGTACAGTGTAAGAATTAAGCACCAATATTATTTCACACAATTAAATTTTCTTCTTTGTGACAGTGGCATAACATTAAACCCCCACAAAGAGCACCACTTCGCTACTTCGTTAAAGTAAAGCTAACAACAGAGCTTCTACATTTTTAGTTTGTTTTCCTTACATCATTATTTGTTACGATTCATGTAGGTATTTCAGAAAGAAGTGCCACAAGCCATATGCCACGAGGAAGACAGCCATATGTCTATCTGGAATATCAACATTACATCTTAAAAACTAGATTTTATAATCTCCAAACACCAAGAGCACACTTATTCATGGAGCGCTTTGAAAATAATTTTGCAACAGAAACCAAGCATTTATGTAAAGCCTTTTTCACTTTAAGTTTTTTCTGCACTATAAGCCATCATGAGAACAGTCACTGATATATTAATAAATAAATATATGGTCTGAATATATGCTCAGTGATTTTTTTTTTCTCCCTAGATTTCCACTTCCACAGGCTGTTGTGGCAACCCACACAACTGGGAGAAACCAACTGCTTCATGGACCAGTATGGATTAATTTTCAAGATTTCTTTAAGAACTAAATCCCCATCCATTACTCTGAACAGTACTATAATAACCACAGAGATCAGTTAAGATTATTTTCCATTCTTCTACCAGATCAACTAACCCAAGAGTAAATTCAAGGAAGTTAACATGTAGAGGAAAAAATTCTGTGGATTTGTTCAAGGTATGAATTTGGCCTGGAAAGACAATTATAAAACAAAGGCTGGATACTTGGTA